GCCATGGCAACGGGTTTCTGACAGGCATTTTTTGCTAAATATAGTACTTTTTGTTTCAACAATAGAATTTTATGGGTTTTATGTCAAGTTACTCATGATTTCTAATATTAATAACATCCCATATAATTTTATGTAAATTTTATCATTAAATATGCATAATTTATGCTAATTTGATGACGTCATTGGCCAAAATCCAAGATGGCGGACCATATCATTAGAACAGGTATATACAGGTTATTTTCATTAAAATTTCATCAATACTTCCATTTCTTTTTCCAAAAAAGGTTTAAATGAAGGTCTTTAGTATGTTTACAATGTATTTTAGGCTTTATCATGAAAAAAAACTATTTTTGAAAATTCAAGATTGATGATCCAAAATGGCGGATATCTTAAATATGCATGACGTCATTTTATGACGTCACCGGTGTTGCTATGGGCAACATAAGACTTAGTACACCATAATATTTTGACATAAACATTTTTGGTAGTTATGTTGAATGCCATTTAGTTTTCAGGGAAAACCTATTTGGACGGTTTTGGCCTGATAAAATCACAATGACGTCATAATGACGTCAGATTACGTCATAACGACATAAAAATTGTAGATATGATACATTTTCACTAGTACACCATTCTCTGAAAATTTGGTGGTCATACGACATACCGTTCGCGAGTTCTTAGGGGGGTCAAAAGACGCCCCCCCCCGGTCCCCCCATGTCAAAAAAAGCCCGGTCTAGGTAGGGTTAAAATTGATATTGAAAGAACATATCCAAGGTGTTGATAGCAAGAGTCTTATCACAAGTCAACATACAAAAAGAACCTGTCCAAGGTGTTGATAGCAAGAGTTTTATAACAAGTCAACATACAAAAAGAACCTATCCAAGGTGTTGATAGCAAGAGTTTTATCACAAGTCAAATGACGGTCTTTCATACTGTCCTCCCGATTCCTAGGTACAATTTTTTTATTACCTTCGTGTAGGGAGGTCTGGTTTTCTATTTGTGTGTTTGTTTGTGCCTCCGTAGTTATTCTCTTGCTGTGCACTTCGGCAAAACTAAAAGAACGTTACTCGTTAAGTCAAATAATGCCCCATAAATATGCTAGACACTTATCTCCATCCAGTGGAAAAAATGCACAGACGAGAAATTTTAAAAAGGGTAAATATTACACGTAGGTGTAAGATCGTTTATTTTTTGTTATCTGGGAAAAACAATTTGTGTACAGGTGTTTTGGTGACGTGAAACATACGATTTATAGAGTTTGGCCTAAAACACTGCCAACACCACCTGTCCTGCTGAATCCCAGTGAAAGACAGGCATGCTAAATAATGTAAACAGTGAGACGAGGAACAAAATAACTTGTAAACATCCATGCAGAACGCGCGGCAAACCTTGGCTTACTTTGGAAATGAATTCAGCTTAAATGTAAAATTCTGCTTGGACATTTCTGATTTTTAGCAGTTTTTTGGCAGTGGGTTACAAGTAGGCTGTATAAAACGCTGATTTTAAGGTTACCAGGTGTAATGATGCATATTTTACCGGTAGTCGCTGGGGCGTAAACGTGCCCCTGGTGGGTTAACATTGAGATGAACCGACTGAACATAAACAATAACTTTTCCCATGACGACACAGGGAAGTAGCTTCGAGTAAGAGTCGTTTCCTCGGCACCTGAACAGCAACAGGGACGGTTATCGCTCGGAGTTGCTCAAATGGACTATTCCTCGACCTATCTGTACGTAAAGACGTGAATTTGCATTGGGCACGAAAAGTAGCATGAAGACCGCCCGGGAAGTCCCGGTGTGCGATAAGCGCCACGGGCTGACGGTTGTCTTTTTTCTGGTCTGCCTTACACCAATCATAACAGGTGAGTGTGGTTTTTAGTTTCCTTGTTGATCGCTCAGTGTATAGGCGCCCAAAACAAGTATCCCAAAAAAACATTCCCTATTCAAATTAAGTTGTTATCCAAGCCTACTCAGCTAGCTATACGTATCCTATCATTCCTAGGTAAGATATGTACAGGTTCATGCAAATTATATATAGTACTGAATAGGAAATGTTTTAGGTTTTCAGAATTCAATGCAGATCTCTGACAGTGCTATTGGCTGTGACCCAAATAGCTGGTTTCTAGTCGCTAGTATAGGTGCTCTCTTTCTCTCAGTCTCTCTCTCTCTCTCTCTCTCTCTCTCTCTCTCTCTCTCTCTCTCTCTCTCTCTCCATGTCCCTTTCTATATGTTTTCGATCGACCTCGAGGCGTGCTGGAGACGAAGCATAACCTCTTGTTCGATATAGTAAGCAAAACACGGCTTCCCTGCTGCTCTTTTTTTAGAGCCAAGTTTACTTTGTAACTAATTGCTATGTCTTAATTCCCATGCCAACGCTTACATCTCAGCTACACTTTATGGCACCGCTTTGGCTTCTGATCCTTCTGTTATATACTAATCGTCCATATATAACCTACAACATGTCAGATGATACTTCCATTCGTAAAGGCCGTAAATTCAGCAATTCTGCAACAGAGGTGAACCGCATCCTTTTTATGTCCCATTGTTCATCTATTTGTTGTTGTTGTTTTTTTTTTCCTTTTCATGGTCCTGTCCATGAACTTTATTTACAAACTGTACAAACTTTTATATACAATACAATACAATGTAATAGATATATGTTACATTACCAGGGGAATTAAGTAACCCCACTTTCTCTTTGCGTTTGTATCTGATATGTTATATTCTATGCATATTATGTTTTTAAGATCTTTGTAAAATATTGAAAAACAATTTATTTTATCAAAACATTCGTTCTCTTTATACATGATCCAGGACTTAAATATGGCATACAGGGCTAATGCAATCATGTGATTGCCTCCTTTGTACATTTTCTCAGTTCTTGGTATTCCCATTATGGGAATACAAGTTTCAAAATCAAGGTCAATCTTGACTAATACATTTAAAAGTTTCTTGAACCTTTCCCAGAAGTTGCCCAATCTTATACAGTTGATAAACATGTGTTTTTCATCCTCTACTACTTTACAAATGTGGCACAATGGGGATGGTATTATTTTCCACCTATGTAAATTTTTGTTATTTGGAAGTATTCGATGGAGCAACTTAAACATGAAGTTTGATAATTTTCTTTCTGTTGTTAAATGTATAGTCATATCAATCCATGGAAGTTCAAAAGTTTGATAATTCTTATCAAAAATGACAGCCCATTTTTGTTCACTCTGTGGTTTGTCGATTTTGTCGATAATTAGCATACTGTATAAGTATTTACATGTGTAGTTTGTGTATTTTTAATCTTTGTTCTGTGCATTCTGTTGTTTGACATTGGGTGTCGTTCAGTAGTGCTAACCATCTTTTCGGAATTGCATTTTTAACGGTGTACATTTCAGCAAGCCAATTTTTTTTATCGTGTAGTTTGTTAAGTATCTGTAATTCGTTTATATGATTGTTATTATCCAACAGATCTCTTATGTATATTATTCCTGCGTCTATCCATTTCTTGTAGTATAATGATGCGTGTTTTCTTTTTCTTTGGGTTTTTGTGACATAGCTAGACCCCCAAATAATATGATTTTTGACTTCGTTAGCTGTTACTGGTTCGGGTACGTTTCCGCCACCCGCTCGGTGCCAACTAAGTATGGCTTGCTTATAATATGGGGGTATGTGGTGTAGATTGGGAGAATTTGATCTATTTTTAAAATGCATTTTCAAGATTAGAAAGTCACTTCCAATGCTGTTTAGATAAAGACTTGGTATGATTTTCCAATCTCCTGATGTATTATCCATAAGACGTCTAATAATCCCAGCGTTTAATGCTTCGATTTGTGCTCTGATATCTATCATTTTTAGTCCGCCTTTGTCATAGTTTGCTATGGTAACCGATCTTCTTATTTTGTCTTTCTTCCCTGACCACAAAAATTGATAAAATAGACGGTGTAGTTTAACAATAACCTGTTCTGGGGCTAATAGAGCTGTAGCACAGTATGTTATTTGTGACATTATTAGAGTTTTTAATATAGTTACCTTTCCATATAGAGTTAGCTTTCTGTTCTTCCATATGTTTAGCATGCTTTCTATTTTTGTAACCTTTTCATGCCAATTTCTTTCATTGCACTCTTTTTTATCATAACTGAAATAAATTCCTAAAGACTTGATTGGTGTTTGGGGTACGGAAATTCCGTGTATTTGTTTTTTCCTGAATTTCCAACAACCAAGCCAGATAGCTTGTGTCTTTCTAAGATTTAGTTCAGGTCCTGCAATTTTACTAAAGTAAGACAGTGTATCTATTGCAGTATGTACAGACTTTTCATTTCCTAATAACAATGTTGTATCATCCGCAACTTGAGAGATTTTTATTTCTTTTATGTTATCACCATCTACAATTTTAATTCCTAGTATTTCTTTGTTTTGATTTATATATAATGCTAGTATTTCCGTTACGAAAAGAAAAAGAATTGCGGATAGTGGACAGCCTTGTCTCACTCCTCTGCCTAAAAGGAAAAAGTCAGAAATCCAGCCATTGTTGATAACTCCGCTTGTGCATTTAGTGTAGATTGTTTTTAACCAATTCGTATATTGATTTCCAAAATTGTATTTTTCTAGCACTTTAAATAAGAAATTTCGTTCCACAGAATCAAAAGCCTTTTTAAAATCGAGGAATAACAATAATCCGGGTATGTTTTCTTTTGCTGTGTATGTCATGATGTCTAAGAGTAGTCTTATGTTTTGTGTAATACTTCTCCCTTTTATATAAGCAGTTTGATTAACATTTATTAGTTTGGATAAAAAAGGTTTTAACCTATTCGCTAATATTTGTGTCAATATTTTGAAATCAACATTAAGCAAGCTGATTGGTCTCCAGTTATCAATGTTATTATCTTCCCCGCCTTTATGTAGCAGTTTAAGGACGGCTTTTCTTTGAGATACCGATAACTCTCCTTTTTCCAAGCCTTCTCTAATAGAATTAATTACTAATTGGCTTACGATGTCCCAAAAAGCCTGATAAAACTCAACAGTAAGTCCGTCTGAGCCGGGGGTTTTCCCTTTTTTCATTTGCGATAACGCATTTTCGAAATCTTTATCATGCAGTGTGCTATCTAAATAAATATTATCTTCCCCAGACAAGGTGAGTGGTATTTCAACCTTTCCCAGAAAATTCTCTATCTCATCCTCATGCACCTGTCTGGATGTGTACAAATTTGCATAGAATTCCTTGCATTGTTGCAGTATTTCGGTGTTGTTTGTAAACATTTGATTTCCTGGTCCTATCAATTTTGTAATTGTGTGTTTTTTGTTATTACTTCTCTCTAGATTTAGAAATAATTTTGTAGACTTTTCGCCTTCTTCATAGTACCTTGTTCTTGCTCTTATCCTTGCTCCTGTTGCTTTGTACTTATAAAATTTATCTAGTTGTTCCTTTACTTGGTTGTATTTTAGTAAAATTTCGTTATTGTCGTTTAGTTGTCGTTCTAAATCTAGAAGTTCTTTTTCGAGCGTTCGCACACATTTTGAGCGAAGGCGCGCTTTTTGTTTACTGTATTGAATTGTTTTTTCTTTAATACCCTTTTTACATAGTTCCCACAGTGTTCTATTATCTTCTTCTTTGTATCTATTTTGAAAATGTTCCACTATTTGTATTAACATTTTTCTGTAATTCTTGTCTTGGCATAAACTGTTATTAAATCGCCATAGTCCAGGCCCTCTGCCTTCTGTTTTAGTGTCTATTTTGACTGTTATCCCTTGATGATCCGTGCGTGTAGCTGGTCTGATGTCGGTACCGCTTACTCTACTTTTAAAGGATTTCTGGATTAAAAAAAAGTCCAGTCTACAAGCTACTGAGGGTTTCAATCTTCTCCAAGTAAACTGTAGTTTCTCTGGATATGTTTCTCTCCAGACATCATATAGTTGGAATATTTTACAAATGTTGTGTATTATTGAAGCTGCCTCTGTGTAATATGTATTATTTTGTCTTGAAGCTGGTTGCTTGTCCTTCTTAAGATCTAAGATTGTGTTCCAATCTCCTCCAATAATAAGTTCGTATATATTGTAGTCGTGTAGCCAATTGATAAGTTCTTTTAAGAAACACTTTCTAGTGGTTTGTGTGTTAGGGGCATAGATGTTAACAAAAGTGATCATTTCCCCTTTAATTTCACAGTTTATTAGTATTTTTCTTCCTATGTTATCACTGTGTATTTCCTGTTTAGTAATAGATATGTTGTGTTTAAATAGAATGCTTACCCCTCTACTTAAATTTGTTCCAACGTTGTGGTAACTTTTTCCTTTCCATTCCATCCTAATTTGCTCTATTATTTCAGCTGTGAAGTGCGTTTCTTGCAAAAAGATTACGTCTGTCTTTTGATGCTGTAACCATGTAAACATTTGCATTCTTTTTTCTTTTTCTCTTAGCCCTCTTGTATTCAGGGATAGTACACTTAATTTTTCTTGTCGAGCCATAGTTCCAATGTTTGTAAACAAATACTTACGTATGTTTGTTGTCTCTGTATGTATAAAGAGTCTTAATCAATAATCCATATTCGTAGTCTAGTCCGTTCTGCTTTCTTTCCCGTAGATGACGTCGCTTTATCTGCATTAGCGTTCATGTCACTGCGGTTTGTGTTTCCTCCTCGGCAAATGAGCTTTCCCGCTGTTGTAGGTCCTCCATCTGTGCTTTTTTTGTTGGCAATGTCTGTGCTGTTTCGGACGACGAGCTTGGCTCTCGAGGCCTCTTCGCTGGTTGAGATTCCTTTCCTTTTCGTAGGTATTTTAAGATTGATGACACTTTTGCTTCGTCCATATCGCCAAGTGAGTTACTTCTTTGTCTTGGCTTCTCCTTCTGCATAACCGGTGTGTCATCTTCTTTTGTGTTGTCGTCTTGTTTTTTCTTGCCTTGTTTTTTTTTCTTTTTCTTTTTCTTATCTTTCTTGGTCGTAGGTTCTGTTGACTTGTCGTCACTTTCACTTTCTTCTGATTGTTTTTGTTTATCTTCGGTGTTTGGGGATTCCCCCATGGTGGATGTATTATTTTCCTTTCCAGTTTGGCTTACATGCTCCTCATACGCTCTATCAATGAAGTCCATATTTGACTCTGTTGTAGGTGTGCTGACAGCGGTCTGAGTGTCATCATTTGCTTTATTTTGGTCGCTGGCTGTGTGAGTTATCTGCTCTCGGTCTAGTTCTTGTCCGTTGTAGAAGACTCGCGCCCAGTGTGTCCCAATCTTCACATTTCGTTGTATGGCTTTTGTGGGTTTTTGTTCGATGTAAATCAGCCTGTCTCCGTTGCTGCAGTTGGTAAGTCGGTTGTTATATCTGATTTTTCTGTGATTCACTCGTCCGACTGTTTTGCACCCTGCATTAGTCAGGAATTCCACTATAATGCTGTCATCAGCTGATTCTGGAATGTCCTTGATTGTAATTAGTGTGTTGTTCATGTTCTGCATTCTGTGTTTCAGGCTGAAAGGATTCGTTTCCTTACAGTCGACCGATTTAGCCCTTACGGTGATCCCTTCGATCAGCAACTTCGCTCTCGCTTCATTACTGTGTAGATAGACCCTCCATAAGGCCCGTACTCTCTGGATTGATCTCAGGTGGGCTGGATTAATGCTTTGTATCAGACAATGATACATCTCTTCCTCCTTTATGGGATTTGCATAAGCCTCTTCTTTCGTGACAATTTCTCTCTCCATAATGAATATAGGAAAAACCGTTTCCCTGGTGGTTCCTCGCTTTACTACTGTCGACCAGCTCACCTCCGCGTCGGTCGCCATGTTGTCTTGTTGTTGTCAGGACGCCGGCCGGCGTCCTTCTGGAGATGAATGAAATGAAGCACCAGCTAGACCCAGAACTCGCTTCTGCCCGCTGTACGTTGGTCTCTGTGGCTTTATGGTGCTTTTGGTCACACTACAGTTTCACGATTCGTTGGGAAATCGGTATAAAAATAGCTGATAGTTTGCGGTGTACCGAAAACGCTGCCGCCTTGGCTAGCCTCGTTTTCAATCCTCTCTATTTGTTGTTCGCAGCTGTGGTTTAGACCATCTTGTTGTGATGCAACGTTTTGAGGTAGTATACCATGACGCTCTCAAAATGCTAATGAACCAGCCTAGGTGGCGTAGCAAGTCTGTTACGTGCATTACGTATCGACACCTTCGACGCCAGGTGGCACAAACTGTCCTATTCATTTGTCACGCGCCTTCTCGCATCGAGAAGCAGCACTGTGTACACCGTTTGCGATTCAGATGTGTTTATTCGAAGCCTGTACTGGCCGCACTTTTTAAACCTTTGTATGTAATTTGTCTACGTGCATTTGTACATTTATTATTGCTCCTTTATTTATATGAGCCTTTGGCCTGAAACAAAGAATAAAATAAAGCTGCAGAAATTCTAAGGTAACAAGAGTTCCGATATCTCATACCTCCATGAAATATGGGCTTGATATGTAAATGTAAATTTCTCCTTTAATTATGCAAATGACCTCTGCATTAACATAATATATTCATCGTGCTGTTAACTTTTGATTAACTTACATATGTCCCAAGACATTCCCATCATTCACCATTAAGAAATCATAGAATTTTCACATCAATTATGCAAATTAGGTCATCATTTGCATAACTAGTATCTGTTGATGTTTCGCCTGCTATAGGTTACATACATTACAGGTATGAAAGTAGTATAATGTAAAAAAACTGTAATAAAAGAATTTCCTTATTAATTATGCAAAAATAATTCCTCATTTGCATAATTTGCATTTAATTTTGCACATCTCTCCCTCAGCTACCTACACACCAACAATGATGAAAATATGTTTTTTCTATATGGACTTATTTGCTTTTAAACATTTCGCCAGAAAGTGCCCCGCAGTTCCAGAACAAGCTGCTAGGGTGACCAAACTCACACCACTTATTGCTGACAGGAAAAGCTATCTGTCACCAAAATATCAAGACTATAGCATGTTCAGGACAAAAGATACAAAAACCGGAAGTTCTGCTGCAGTACCAAGGTCATCCACCAGGAGGCCCATATTCGACCTTGACCTTTGGCTTCCTAAGGCCTACCAGCATACCAAATATCATCGCAATCCATAAAGGCGTTCTGAAGTTATGCTGACCACAAAGTTGCGGAAACACACACAGACAGACAGTCAGACACACACACAGACACACAGACATCCATTCCTCATGGAGGTAATAATCATGGCTAGAAGTTGCATGCTATTGTGTGCATTATGAATTATTTCTATTGCATACCCCTGGTCCGAAAAAATTAATTCAAATATTTAGATATTTTATATCTATATAATTATATTATCTATGTTATATATATATTATATCTAGTTCCATGCCCTAATAGTTTAGGGTTTAGATCAGGCACGGTTCTGGATCGGATGGCATCCGCGCATTATTTGCCCGAGGCATGATTTCTGGACAGTTCTAGACAAAGAACTAATGTTAACTCCTACATTTTATATGTAAGTAATCTATTACGTTGTTTTTTTTTCTTTTCTATCCTCTACTTGTAGTTATAAATTAGAATTTTGGATAGAAATATCTTTTAATCTTTAGTCGTTGAAAATGGCAGGGATTGTTAAGGCTACCATTTGTAAAAAAAAGGGCAGGATGGCTAAGATACCTGAATGCTTCTCTCGCTCAGTTTCAATGCATGCATTTGTCTAAATTTTAAAAGAATTTTTTTCGAAAAAGGGATAAAACAGATAAAACCAAAATTAGAAAATAGAATACGTTCTGAAGAGTTTAGTAAACACTTTATGTGTTTCTTCAGGTGTAGTAGACGTCACCATCGTCAGTAAGTACCAGTTCTTTGATGAGTCCGATGACACCTGGCTGTACTGCTACTACACGGGTAACATCATCAAAAAGAATGGGTACCAGTTCGGTGTAGAGGTTGACACTGGCTCAGGAACGGGATTTGCACGATGGAGAAGCTCTAGCAGAGTAACAGGAGGCTATAGTGTTAGGATGTGGAATAGAGCTGGTAACACCCGGGTCGGGGCATTCTCCTGTCGCGTAAACACCCCAGACAGCAGTCAAACAGAAAAGTCTATCACCTTCAAAATGAAATCACAGGGTGAGTACACAATTTTTTACTGAATATGTCTGCATCTCTTTACATTCCCCAAATGGGTCAAGTGTACATGATTTGAATCATTCTTCATTGATGAGAATTTGGAATCGACCATCTCGCTTTTCATCAATGATTATACCTTACATAATCTTTCAGCCGATGTCTGGCCTGTGGCCTTCACAGTAACCGCCAGCCTAGGAGACCCCGTGACGCTACAGATGGTACAGAAGTCCAATAGGACGGGTACCCTGGAGTGGAGAAAGGGCGGAGTCGGGGGGACTGTCCTAACCGGACAGAACGGACTTAGCTTGACCATAGCCAGTGTCCAGTCTTCAGATGAGGGGATCTATGAGTGCTACTATCAGGGGGACACTGATACAAAACAGGGCATCATGAGGCTCATTGTCAGAGGTAATGTAACATGTTTTATTATTTAAATGTTCACGTGAGTTCAAGGCCATACGCTAGAACTTATCAAATGCTAGAACTGTTGTCATTGTATTCCATATATACGTGTTGATTCGTGTCCACATTCTCACAGAAATGTCGAAAAGTTAAACAGTTCTCTAACTTGATAATTTGACATACCTGGATTGTCTTAATCGGCTCATCATCATCATATCTTGTCGGCCCACTGCTCCAGCCAGTCCAGAGCTTCCTGGTTTGCATCGTACAGGTCTCGTTTGGTGACAGATTTTTAAAATTAAAAAAAAAAATTTTACAAACTTTATTATTCACATACGATACATAAAATAGTTAACATACAATGGTACATAATAATACATGAAAAGTGTCTGTGTGTGTGTGTGTGAACACGATAACTCAGGAAGACTAAGATGGATTGTCCTGATATTTAGTAGGTGGATAGGTCTTCATGAGACGTGAAACTGATTAGATTTTGGGGCCCCTAGCGTCTTGTTATGGTACTGCAGCTGAACTTCCGGTTTTGATATCTCGTGATGACATGCTAGGGTAACTAAATTTGGATGGTAGGTAGCTCTTGTGCTGGGAAAGAAGTGACGTGAATTTAGACCCCCTAGCTGCTTGCTCTGGAACTGCAGGGGCCTTGAAAAATGTTTAAAGTCGGATAACTCAAGAACCGATTGATGGATCGTCGTGATGTTTGGCATGTAGGTAGCTGATGTGATGCTTGACATAATAATATTACAATTATGCAAATATCAATGTAATTTGTATAATTAATGAGGAAAATCTATAAATCAGCCGCATTCCATGATAGGACTATTCAAGCTTGTGTCATGTAATTAAGAACGGCAGAAATACAGGCAGATATCAATTATGCAAATGATGACTTATTTTGCAGAATTATTGAGAAAATGTTATAATTACATAGTGGTAACTGCCTGGAATTTCATACTTGGGATATTTGAAAGCTATGTGAAGGTGAACATAATTAAACCTACTTTTAGAAAGAACTTTTTTTTAATTTATAAAGAAATGCTATAATGGCATTCTTTGATAAGTTAAGACTGTCTTCTGGTGTAGAATATGATCAACAGATATGATTGATGCAATATATGGTCCTATTTGCACAATCAGGGGGATTAATCTATAATTTATTAGTTATAAATTATGGCTAACATCATTTGGCAAAGGTATTAGATCGTGGAACTCTAGTTTAGTCTGTTTCTGAAATTTGTGAAGTTTGGTTTGTAATTTTTGATGAAACATGTGTAAATACAATATTGAGCGATAAGAATACAGTGTGCAAGTGCATTGTCATGGTGAGGGTTGTCAATTATACCGTAAATAATCATCTTCTCGTCTACAATTAGGTCTTGCTTGGTACATCTTTTTCACCAGTAACAGAACGTTTCCCAAATTTTTTTAGCTTCTATACAATAAACTAAAAGTATCAGAGAGGTCAAAGTATTTTGCTACCTTCGTGCCTTTATCTATGCCTTAGTTGACTCACTCACAAGACACGTATACTTTGGTACCAAAAATATTGACTTTTATGGTATCTGGTATTTATATCGTAGCTGTACTGTCGGTCTCAGAAGACTATTACTTTAAGCGCAAAAATCGGATTGTACAGTTTTTTCAAATCAAATTCAATATCCACAATTACTTTAATGTAATAATTGTTCTTTTATGCCCTCACTCAGGTTGTGCTGAGAACAAGTGGGATCCTCCCTCCTGTACCGCTGACTGTCCCGTGTGCTACAACGGCGGTGTGTGTGACGACAACACGGGGGAATGTGTCTGTCCTCCGGGATTCCATGGACACAACTGTGAAAGCGGTAAGTGTTACATTTGACATTACGTCTTCAATTAATAACACGCTTTATGTTAAGGCACGATTTTTGGCCCGTTCGTGTCACATAAGATTCAAAGTTGCTCAAAGTGGCTTTAAAAGGTTATTGAAGAATGGCTCAAAAAGGTTTTGAAGTATAGATTCTGACATTAGCTCATTTGAAGATATCAAATGGCAATAACGGATGATGTGTACCACAGACAAAATTTTCTACAACAATGCTCTTTTATATACTTTAAGCATGTACAAACGGCATGATCGGTACAAGCTGCACGAGAGAGTGTGACGGTGGAGACTGTACGGGCCAGCTGTTGTGTGTGATGGACCCGTACGGCTGTTCCTGCGCTCCTGGACTCATGGGCATAGAGTGTAATACAGGTGAGACTACATGCTAGTAATAGCTCATTTCATTGAGTGATGATTGATATCTGAATATTTTTAGTTTTCTTGTCCTACAGTTGTCATGGTTGTCAAGGCATGTTTGGGTATCCGACAAACTTTATGGATGTCAAGGTGATCAGCGTTTTCACCGATGGCCATGCTTCACCGAATGATTGGACCTACTGGATGCTGAATGATCTTTTCTTGGACTGATATACTCCGTAACACGTTACTTTACTAATGAAAGTCTGGCCATTTCAGAGTGTCCTGACGGCTTGTACGGAGCTGGCTGCACACAAACCTGCCATTGTGCAGCCGGACCAGCGGCCTGTAATAAGACGACTGGATTCTGTACAGGGGGGTGTCTGGACTTCTGGACTGGAGACTCGTGTCAAACACGTAAAAAAATTTCCAATCCTCTAAAGCAGTTTTAATACAGGCTTATTGCCCTGTGTATTATTTCGATACAGACCTGAAGATATTTTCATATATTTATGTACCTAATAATATTTAACTGTTAATTTGATGTAAATTTCTTAGAGTGTCCAGACGGCGTGTATGGAGCTGACTGTACCCAAACCTGCCATTGTGCAGCCGGACCGACAGCCTGTAACAAGACGAATGGGTTCTGTACAGGGGGGTGTCTGAACTTCTGGACTGGAGACACGTGCCAAACACGTGAAGGTACTATTAACAGTAACATTTAACACTGACTGGGTATAAGATGCATAAGATACCTGTCAAAATGCCGAATAAATAAAATAAATACATATCGACATGTCAATGAAAACGTTTGTGGATACCTAGTGCAATCGCAAATAATAATAATAATAGTTTATTGACAACAATCCTTGTACATGGCAGCGTTTAAACCGCTGAATTGCGTACACAGGTTTAAAAACAATTAAACAATAAGGTGGGCTAAACAAACAAAGGACATTGACAAAATAGGTACAAACAACTTAAACAAATACTAGCTGTACGCAGTTATAAATTAGATATATAAGTGATTAAAAACAATATTGGTCCGGTACTGGGAGATTTCAACCTAGGTCTGCTGGTTTATTTAACAAATCAGTGAAATAGGGGATTGGGCTCGTTTTGTACCGCTTTGTTTTCGTCAAAGGGATGTCGAGTTGGTTTGCCCCCTTCAGGCATCTGCCATGGATGTCTGAGCGGGATGGGGGTAACCAATGTCGGAACGAAGGGGAGTTAAGGAGGGACTTTGCAAACTTAAGGCTAAGGGTTTCTCTTCTTTTCTCTAGGGACGGCAAACATAATTGGGACAGGGCGATGTTGTAAGACGTGTACAGGGGGCCAAGGATTATCTTTGCTGCTCGTTTTAGTTTTTATTAATATTGATAAACGTTACACATCCAGGTAAACGGTACCCATGGGGTTTGTAATACTGGATAAATTATGGGGATTTTGAAAAAAAAACTTTACACAAGTTCTGTTCGTATTACAATGTTATAACGTTTTTGCTTTAGATACTGCCCCGTACGCAGATCTCTTTATTAAGGACGAAGGTCGCTTCTTCGGTGATTCTTCTAACCACATAACAGCATACAACGACATAGACACAGAAGAGTGTGCCCGCCGCTGTCTGCGAGGTTACGGCGGTTACGATGGCGTCACTCCGGCATGTCTGTCCTTCAACCATCGCCCTGCCGGATCGCCAGAGGGCGGCAGTGCACGGTGTTGGCTCAGTAGTTCTGACAAGGACACGGCGGCATCTCCTGGTCCTGAGTGGGACAGTTGGCCTTACCGAAATTACTACCAGAGGAAACGTAAGTATGCCAATTACTCTTTTATTTGACAGCTACCTATATGACCCATTCTGTTTGTTTTTGTAAATATAGAAAACAATAAAATCTCACCAATACTGCTTAAATATGGACTGTTTCATTACCCTGCAAAGGGTATCGGTTGACCAAGATTTAGGTGAGTATTAAGGTGAATATAAACGAAATGTTATATTCAATGCATTTCATTTTTTCGTTTTCTCAATATTTCATAAAAACAATAGTCCATAAAATATTCTATATTTTTGTAATATTAGGAAATGGTCAAGGTGTTATAATCACAATTAATAAGTACTTATTACTTCTCATTCTCTTTAATATTTTTACCTGAATGTGTTTAAGTTTTGTTATCGGCGGGTTTATCTGCGTGTTTACGTAAGTTTTCGTACTCGGCTCGAGGATTTTACTGACAGGCAATAACTAGGTCAAATGTCCTAAAACAATTTCCTGTCCAACTTTTTGCTATATGAATGTTTTTTTGTAATGTGAGCCAGTATGAAAAACGCATAGACAAGATTAACGAGAATTTCACAACAAGATTTAAAGAAACAAAATAGTTGTAAAATCTAGGATGTATGAGATATTCAATACACATAACAACAGTCTCTTATTCTCAAACATTTCCAGACATTCTGTCGCCCCAAGATTGTACTGACGTGTTCGCACTCGGGATTCAGCACAGTCATGTTTACACCATCGGCCACCCACAACCATTCCAAGCCTACTGTGACATGGTCACTGATGGCGGGGGGTGGACGGTCATACAGCGGCGTCAGGACGGGTCTGTGCCGTTTAACAAGACTTGGACTGAATACGAGCAGGGATTCGGCAATCCTACAGTAGAGTATTGGCTGGGATTAAAGAACGTCCACAGCCTGACAACACAGGAACATAACGAACTGTACGTGTACTTGGAAGACTGGGAAACGAACAGCCGATTTGCGCGGTACAGCACGTTTTCTGTGGGAGATGCCAGCAGCAAGTACACGGCAACGATCGACGGGTACAGCGGGGATGCTACTGATAGTTTGGACCCGTCCACTACACGTCACAGCATCAACAACAGACAATTTTCTACAACAGACCAGGATAACGACGGTATCAGTACCGACTGTGCGGGTACATTCGGACAAGGAGGCTGGTGGTACACTCCAAGTTGTGGATACGCCTTGTTGAACGGACAGTATCTGACAGGCTGCTCAGTACCTATAGCTTCCTGCCCCAGTGCAAATGGAATCATCTGGTACACTTGGAGGCGTAACCAGTATTCCTTAAAGAAAACGGTCATGATGATCAGACCAGCTACTTTTCCTGGTACGTGTTTTAGTCATTACTTAGAACTGTATTCTATTTTCTTCTCGATTACTAGTGACAGATTGAAAAAAAAATTCTTGATTACATTTACCGTATTACGATAAGTTGTTAAAACGTTTACAATATGTTGTATTATATATGCCCCATAGTGTCATCTTTAAGACCATGTGAGAATGGGAGAAACCTGACATCTGGACCTGAGGATTCCGGACTGTACATCTGTGCATGTCCCGCAGGGTGGAATGGCGAGTTTTGTGATCAGGGTAATGAAATGCTACATGTTTACATACAATATGCATACACGTGCAGTATGTAAACATACGTACATACATTATGTAAATAACTTGAACGAAGCTCTAAAATAACGTTTTGGTCAATGTTTTTGTTATCTATAACGTTACGTTTAGGCCACAATTGCACAGGTGCCTGTAGGAAGTGTATCCTGGGTAGGCCCAGGTTTGTAGGACACCGGTTGTTGCCGTCATGATTAAAACTTTCTTTTGCTGTACCGTGTAGGGGTTTGATCCGTGTTAATCTAAGTGCCCGTTATAGAAAATTCTCGTAATCCGGTCAATCTCTCACAACCACACACACACATGCAAACACACACACACACACACACACAAACACACACAAACACACACACACAAACACATACACACAAACACACACACACACACAAACACACAAGCGCACAAACACACACACAAACACGCACACACACACAGTGGGTAAATACCCCGTATATGTAGTAGCTACCGGCTTTTCCAATTGTACCTTAAGCGTTACAGATTGTTTTGACCGTTAAAATTGAATGTTTTTTTTTTATTCATCAAAACATAAAAACATAACAAGGACAGTGTGGCGCTGCACTCAAGTTAGCAACTTAAATTAACAGCGCCACACAACAAAAAGGTACAATTAACATTTAAATGTACAAAGTTGACATATCTTTGCGCCGTAGTCCCACCTCCCCAGGACATCAAAATGTTAAATTAAATGCTAACAGAGCTATTTGAAAGATAAGATTGAAGTTGAGTTGAAAGATAAAATTGAATGTTAAATTAGTAGTATCCATTCAAACCACATATTCCGAAGAATGAAGAAGAATAATAGGTATTTATGTGTCACGTTGATGTCTGTCATTTCCCACTTTAGCCTGCCCCTCTGGTGAGTTTGGACCCGACTGTACCGGCACTTGTCACTGTGCCAGCGGAGATTCCGTGTGTGACATCCGGACTGGAGTCTGTTCTAGTGGAGGGTGTGAGGCTGGGTGGAAGGGTAGTAACTGTCAGACAGGTGATCACATGTTAATTTTACGCATTATAATCTAGTAGTAATCGGGAAATATTGAATTTAAGATGTTTAGAAGAAAATTAATCCCAGTATGGATATAGGTAAATTCGATATTTTATTGGAAATTTCAGTCTGCTCGTCTGGAGAGTTTGGACAAGGATGTACCGGCACCTGTCACTGTGCAAGCGGAGATTCCGTGTGTGACATCCGGACTGGAGTCTGCTCTAGTGGAGGATGTGAGGCCGGATGGAAGGGACGCGATTGTCAGACAGGTGATTCATGTTAATTTATATTCATCGAAATTTATTCTGGCCCAAAGAAAAGAAAGTGGTTTAGTCAAACATTTTTGTACATTGTTTCCTGGCAGTCACTCCACAAAGACAGAGCATGAATTGATTGCTTTCTAACACTATAATTCTTTAAAATACTTTAACAAAATTCCTTTTTTTAAGCCTGCTCATCTGGTGTTAAAAAAACAGTTTGACGACACGTAAAATGCGATTTTATAATTGGTTAATTGCAGTCTGCTCTGGAAGGGAAGCAGTCTGCTCTGCTCGTGGCGTCGGGTGGCGTAGTGGTAGATCAATCGGCTATGAAGCGGGGAGACCCGGGTTCGATCCCGAGTCGTACCCGGGACATGTTTGAACATGCGCCCCAACGTTGTGCCCTTGGGAAATTATAATCTAGTAGTAATTGAGAAACATTGAATTTAAGATGTTTAGAAGATTATGAAGAGGGGAGACCCCGGTTCGATCCCGAGTCGTCCCCGGGACATGTCTGGACATGCGCCCCAACGTTGTGCCCTTGGGAAAGGCACTTAACACGGCTTTCCTCACTCCACCCAGGTGTGAATGGGTACCTAACTTCGGTTGGGGAAAGCCGTATTGAGGTCACCTTATGGCGCCGAATGGCAGCCGCACAGACCTTTGACTTTATTGGGATCCACATTTAGCTTACAACAAATGTAGCTATTCTTCCTGTGGTCCTTCAAGACACACATGACATATTTACAAAACATAAATACATGGCAATTACAACATATTAAAACAGATTAAAATAAAGCTATATACATATACACCATCACCACTTCATTTCATTCCAGGCACTGGACATTCTATACAAAAATATTCTTTTCTGTGCATTTGTTCGAGGTTTAGGAAGGCGGATGGTCTGTGAGTCTGATGTTCTAGTATGGTAACCATATGACTGCATAGTGATGTTCTTATACAATGATATGGGTTGTTTTTCTTTCATTATCCTACTGAAAGTTCTCAGTCCTTTCTGGTGAACTCTGTCCTTCACTGGTAGCCATCCCAGCTTCTCTAGCAACCTGTCCTTGCTTGTGTATCTGTTGCATCCCAGGGCAAGCCTGGCTGCTCTGTTCTGTATCACTTGCAGCCGCTTTATGTTCTTCGCAGATGTGCTGGCCCGCACGGAGCTGCAGTAGTCAAGATGTGTCAGTACCAGGGCTTGAATGAGTTCTATCCTGTGCTTCGGCAGAAGTGATTTTCTCACCCTGCTTACTTGAGCCATGCTCCTATTGCACTTCTTCACTACAAGGTCTATGTGATCGTCAAAAGCGAGGTTCTGGTCAACCTGCACTCCCAGAAGCTTGACAGTGGGTACCTGCTGTAAACTCTGCCCCCTGAGCTCCAGCTGTAGGGGAGGTGCAAGTCTGGTCTTTCCTGCAGTCCCCACTTGCATGGCTTTTGTTTTGTCGTTGTTTAGTTTGAGCATGTTGTGATCTGACCACTTCGCTACACATTCTAGATCTACAAGAGCCTTTGTTCTTATGTCCTGAACAGTGTGTCCTGCTGCGTGTACTGTACTGTCGTCGGCATACTGATCCAGTTCACCATTCTCCACTGTGCTGGACATGTCGTTGACGTAAATGCTGTACAACTGAGGTCCCAAACAACTTCCTTGTGGAACTCCACACTGTAGCACACGTTCTTTGCTATAGGCTCCGTTTGCATACACCTGCCAATTGCGTTTGGACAGGTATGACTTGGTCCATGACAGGGCTTCCTCAGAGAACCCGTATCTTGTGAGCTTCCTTAGAAGCAGGATGCGGTCAACCAAGTCAAAAGCTGCACTGAAGTCCAGCAGCACCACTGAGGTCATCAGCCCTTTGTCCATACTATCCAACTACTCATCTGTCATCTTCAAGAGAACCGTTTCTGTAGAGTGTAGTTTTCTGTACGCATGCTGTGCCTCTGATTGATGACCTGATTGGGAGAAGTATGACACGATCTGTTCACTAGCTATTATGTTCTGTCCAGACAGTGGCTTACTGCTGTCTTTCAATAGTGGAATCACCTTGGCATGTTTCCACTTTGCTGGGAAAGTTCCTGTTGCAAAAGACAGGTTTACTATGTAAGCCAAGGGTTGTGCTATGATATCTGAACAAGTCCTCAGCAGTTTGTTGTCTATTCCATCATAGCCTGGGGCTTTGCCATCTGGTAGTCGTGACAGGATTTTGTGCACTTCCTGCGCTGTGACTGCTTCCAACATGAAAAGTTTCTTCCCCGTGTGAGTCTGCGTGTGAGTCTGCATGTGAGTCGCCTGCCCTGGATCTGAGCAAGTTTCTTCTTCCGTATTTCTCATCCTAGAACGAATGTTGGCGACCTTAATCTCGTAGAACTTTGCGAAATGTTCTGCGATGTCTTGGGGTTCGGTAAGCAGTCTTCCATCTTCCTGCACACAAGATGGGCTTACAGTGTGTTTTCTTCCAAGAAGGGAATTGATGGTATTCCAGATCTGTTTCGGATTTTCCGTGCATTCTTCAAATTTGTCTCTGTAGAACTGAGTTTTTGTCTTACGACAAACTGATACCACTCTGTTCCTCAGCTTCCTGTACACAGCCTAGTCTGATTCCAGCCCTGTTGTTTTAGCCTCCCTCTTTGCCTCATTTCTCATCTCCATCAGTTCTTTAATGTCTGGCGTAAGCCAAGGGGATGCATTTGACCTGACTGTGAACTTCCTTATTGGAGCATGCTTGTCACATGTGTCCTGTAGAATGTCAGCAAACATCTCTGTAGCCTGGTTGACATCATCAAAGTTATACATCAATTGCCATGGTGCCTCCTTCATATCCGAAAGGAAAGTTCCCTCCGTGAATTTCTTATATGTTCTTTTATGAACTGTTCTTGGCCCTGTCTTCTGAAGCTTTGCCTTTCGAGAAAACAGCACTGCGTCGTGGTCAGAGAAGCCCACTGTTCTTATTGTTGTCTTGCTGCATTTGTCGGGTAAGTTCGTAAACACCAGATCGATGCAAGATTTTTTTTACTTTATTAATATTCATAATGTTACATTAAAAAGAGGTATATAGTTGACATACATGTACAATCGTGTGGGATGATACATAACAATCAAGGACAGTTTTTTAAAGGTAACGTTGCAAGATGCTACAACTGTTTGTCCACGGTTCACAGTTCTGGTTAGCTTGTCAACTAACTGTTGCATTCCATAGCTTTGTGTCATGTCTCGCAGTCTCTTTGATGTGTCTGATGTTCTAGTCCAGTCTACTTTAAAGTCTCCCAGAACATAAATTTCCTTTTGCTCTGATGTTACCTTGTCCAATATTTTCTCAAAGTTTTCCATCCAGTCTGTTTTAGCATTAGGTGGTCTGTAGAAGACTGCTAACAGAAAAGAGCTAACATGAGGCATATGAACTTCAATCCAGAGTGCTTCTACAGATTTTAACATGAGATCCTTTCTGACATTACCAACAATGATTCCAGAAACATACAGTGCCACACCACCTCCCCTCCCGTTTCTATCCTCTCTGAACAGACTATAGCCTTCTACAAACAGTTGCCCATCTGATATAGAATCATCAAGGTGTGTTTCTGATACAGCCATTATATGCACATTGTTCTGTTTCATTACTTGAGCCAAGTCATTTACTTTGTTACGCAAGCTACATACATTCAGATGTGCTATGTTCAGGCCTCGTGATTTGTTCATTGTGATGGCGTACCCAAGAACAACTATAATACACAAATAAAACTTCATTTTCACTATTGACAAAGACTTAGTCTAAATGCTGAACTCTTGGCTTAATCTAACCTAACATATCTAAAAACAACACTAAACTATCTAAAACAATACTTAAACTATCCTAATATCTACAGTCTAATACTTAACTATCCTTGGCTTAATCTAACCTAACATATCTAAAAACAACACTAAACTATCTAAAAACAACACTTAAACTATCCTAATATCTACAGTCTAATACTTAACTATCCTATTGAATGTCTGAAGAAGTTCAATGTATTAAAATCAATGTCAGAGAAGCATTGTCCGTGACCAAAAATTCATAACTCACTCAAGCTTCGACCAGCATTGAATTAACTGTAAAAAACAATGAAATTACAAATAATCTAGTTACCATGATTAGCAGAGAAGAGCAACAGCACGGTCAATGCACCTCTGTTAGGCGAGAAGTCCGAGGTCAGCAATCATGGCGCCCTCCCACCTCAGGAGAGGTAGAAATTCAACTTACAATAAAAACACTCAATAAGGCAAAATTACAACAAAAAAAAACTTCTTCGACACACTCTAAGTGTCGCTAGGTACCATCTACGTGCTTGATACACCTGGATGGTTTATCTAGAAGAAGATTTTTGACGGATTTAAAAGATTTCTCAGAGTTCCAGAAATTAGTGTGCAGCCATCTTGGTGACCTCTGACCTTGACCCCTGCGGAAGTTCCACAAAAATGTGGAACAAATATGTATCATGTGTATTATGTGTATAATTTTGTGTATTTTTACCATTTGCATCATCTGATTGTAAACCCTGCATCAATTCAGCACTATAAGGCTGCGATTGCACGGGTGATGTTTGGCCAATAAACCAATTATATAAGGGAAGCAATTTTCAGACAGGTTTGTATCATTTGTGGCGAGTGTGCCCAGGCATGACGCAAGCAATATATATTATTCTAACCTTTCTAATGTCAAATCTAATATTCCAATGTCAAATCTTCTCAAGGTCTGAATTTCCAATCCTCTGAAGTGTTTTCGTAATACAGAATGATCGTCATTTTATTATGTTTGATACAGATCTGAAGATATCTTACTGCAATGTTGAACATTAGTAAATGGATTTACCAAAATTTATATATATATATAGATATATAGATATGTTCATATATTTATTTGCTTAATAATATTTAACTGTTAATTTGATGTAAATTTCTTAGAGTGTCCAGACGGCTTGTACGGAGCTGGCTGCACCCAAACCTGTAACTGTGCAGCCGGACCAGCTGCCTGTGACAAAAAGACCGGATTCTGTACAGGGGGGTGTCTGGACTTCTGGACTGGGGACGCGTGCAAAACACGTGAAGGTACTACTAACAGTAAAATTTAACACTGACAGTTCTTAGGGTATAGAATGCAGATACCTGTCAACATGCCGAATAAATAGAATAAATACATATTGACATATCAATGAAAAGCTTTGTGTGGATATCTAGTGCAATCGCAAATACGGTTTTAATCTAGATCTGTAGTTGTAGAAGACCATACAAAAGTCCCTGTACTTTTTTGTTGTGTCAATAAAGAATCTCTACATTGATGAAAGTTTGACATCCAGATAAACGGTACCCATGGGTTTTTAAAATCATAATACTGGATAAATTGTGGAGACTTTGAATGAAACTTTTCACAAGCTCTGTTGATTTTACAATGTTATAACGTTTTTGCTTTTTATTAGATACTGTCCCGTACGCAGATCTCTTTATTAAGGAGGAAGGTCGCTTCTTCGGTGAGCCTCCTTACTGGATAACAGATTACAACGACATAGACGCAGATGAGTGTGCCCGTCGCTGTCTACAAGGTTACGGCAGCTATGATGGCGTCAATCCGACCTGTCTGTCCTTCAACCATCGCCCCGCCGGATCGCCAGAGGGCGTCAGTGCACGGTGTTGGCTCAGTAGTTCTGACAAGGACACGGCGGCATCTCCTGGTTCTGAGTGGGACAGTTGGCCTTACCGAAATTACTACCAGAGGAAACGTAACTATGTGTATTCTACTTCTGTTAGGCAAGGGGCTCAGTGCCCTATTCTGTATCATTCTTTAAATATATTCAACGTTATAAAGAAAATGTAAAGTTTGTATATCTTATTTTATATTCTACACTTTTGTAATAGTACTCTTATTTGGTTTAGGACTAGGACATTGTGTTTAAGACTATATTAATAACAGTAACGTTGTATAATTTATAACTCCATATTGTTTTAACCATTATTACCTATGAGTATAGCCCAGTGTTCTCCATGCATAGCTGTGATCTTGTTTAGTGTGCAAGTGCTATCTTGTGTATTTTCAAATTGGTAGTTGTTTTATATAGGTGCGTAAAAGACACTGACAAGAATTAGAAAGGTTCCCAGAAAAGTTTGAAGAATGGTTCGCTTGTTCCATTTCCTACCTTCAATTTCCTGCCATATGCATGACTGTTGCGTTAACACAGTCCGTAGGAAAATACACAGACAGAATCATTGAGAAATCCACCACAATAATCAGTAAAGGAAGAAATTCACTAAAACTCCTAATAATTTCTGGAGGTATATATTTTGTTATTTCTTGCCTGATGAATCATGCCACCATTATTGCTTGTTATATCCAGATATTCTGACGCCCAAAGATTGTACTGACCTGATCGCAGTCGGTATTCAATACAGTAGTGTCTACACCATCGGCCACCCACAACCATTCCAAGCCTACTGTGACATGGACACTGATGGCGGTGGGTGGACGGTCATACAGCGGCGTCAGGACGGGTCCGTGCCGTTTGACAAGACTTGGATTGAGTATGAGCAGGGATTCGGCAATACTCGTGGAGAATACTGGCTGGGATTGGGGAACATCCACAGTCTGACTACACAGAAACAAAACGAACTGTATGTGTACTTGGAAGACTGGGAAAGGAACAGCCGGTTTGCGCGGTACAGCACGTTTTCTGTGGGAGATGCCAGCAGCAAGTACACGGCAACGATCGACGGTTACAGCGGGAATGCTACTGATAGTTTGTACAATTCCAATTCACGTCACGGCATCAACACCAGAAAATTTTCTACAATAGACCAAGATAATGACGGTGTCAGTACCGACTGTGCTGTTACATTCGGACAAGGAGGCTGGTGGTACACTCCAAGTTGTGGTTTTTCCATGTTAAACGGACAGTATCTGACAGGCTGCTCATTACCTGCTCCGGGATCCTGCTCCAGTGCAGATGGAATCATCTGGTACACTTGGTTGGGCTACAGATATTCATTGAAGAAAACAGTCATGATGACCAGACCAGCTGATTTTCCCGGTAGGCATTCAACTTATAACTAAACATGTGCACTGCAATTCTCATCGTTTCTATTTTTCTTTATACATAAAGGGGTAAAAATAAATCAAAAGAATGCTGTTGTTAACAACGAGTGTTATAACAGTGCCATTGTCTGCCACACTACTTTGCTCTACAGCATCATTGTTTAGACCATGTGAGAATGGGGGAACCCTGACATCTGGACCGGAGGATTCCGGACTGTTCATCTGTGCATGTCCTGCAGGGTGGAATGGCACGTTTTGTGATCAGGGTAATACACACATAATACATTACGTAAATAAGTTGAACGAAAGTCTGAAACGACCTTTAATCCCAAACTTGTGATTAGGCCACCATTTCACCTGTGCCTGTACGATGTGTAACCTGGGTAGGCCCAGGTTTGAAGAACACCGGCTGTTGTCAGCCGTTGTTTTTGTTGACGACAAAATATTCCGTACGCGTACAGTAACTACAGGCTTTTCAAATTGTTACAAGCACTACGGACTGTTTTAGTCGTAAAAGTTGAATATTAAGAGGTACAGCTTAGTATGCATTTCAACCGCATGGTTAAAAGGTATTATGAGATAAAGAACAACATTGGCTATTTAAGTGTGGCGTTGAAGGTCTGCCTTTTCACGCTTTAGTCTGCTCCTCTGGTGAGTTTGGGTCTAACTGTACCGGCACCTGTCACTGTGCGAGCGGAGACTCCGTGTGTGATATCCGGACTGGAGTCTGCTCCAGTGGAGGATGTGAGGCTGGGTGGAATGGGAGCAACTGTCAAACAGGTGGTTATAAATGCATTACATTATAGTGTGAAGTTACTAGAGTGATTAACTCTTAACGTATTCTTTATTATGGTTGCTAAATATTCTAAGTTTTTAAATTCTTTTCTTTCAAGCATGCTTACCTGGTGAGTTTGGGTCCAACTGTACCGGCACCTGTCACTGTGCAAGCGGGGATTCCGTGTGTGACATGCGGACTGGAGTCTGCTCTAGTGGAGGGTGTGAGGCCGGATGGAAGGGAAGCAGCTGTCAGACAGGTGATAATGTTATTGTTACAGTATCACATTGTTTTCTGGCAGTAAGTCAAGAAAGACAAGGCTTGACGTAAAGTTTTTTCCAACTTTGATAAAATTTATTACTTTCTTTACAGTTTGCTTACCTGGAGAGTTTGGGCCAAACTGTACCGGCACCTGTCACTGTGCGAGCGGAGATTCCATGTGTGATATCCAGACTGGAGTTTGTTCTAGTGGGGGGTGTGAGGCCGGATGGAAGGAAAGCAGCTGTCAGACAGGTGATCGTTTTATCTTATCACAATAATTTCTTGCAGTGAGTCCAGAATAACAGGGCTTGAAATAAAACGTTTTCGAATTTTCAGATATTCACCAGGTTTAATAAACATTGTTATTACTTTCTTTACAGTTTGCTTACCTGGAGAGTTTGGGCCCAACTGTACCGGCACCTGTCACTGTGAGAGCGGAAATTCCGTGTGTGACATCCGGACTGGAGTCTGCTCTAGTGGAGGGTGCGAGGCTGGGTGGAAGGGGAGCAACTGTCAGACAGGTGGTTAATATTGTTTCTCTTTATTTTATTTAATGCATTACATTATAGGGTGGAGTTTAAATGGGTTATTGACTCTTAAAGTATTCTTTAATATGGATACTAAATATATTAAGTTTTTAAATTGCTTCCTTTCAAGCATGCTCGCCTGGTAGGTTTGGGCCGAACTGTACCGGCACCTGTCACTGTGCTAGCGGAGATTCCGTGTGTGACATCCGGACTGGAGTCTGCTCTAGTGGAGGGTGTGAGGCCGGATGGAAGGGGAACAACTGTCAGACAGGTGATCGTTTTATTTTATCACATTAATTTCTTGCGTTGAGTCGAGAAAGACAGGGCTTGAAATAAAACGTTTTCGATTTTTTTAGATATTCACCAGGTTTAATAAACCTTGTTATTACTTTCTTTAAAGTTTGCTTACCTGGAGAGTTTGGGTCCAACTGTACCGGCACCTGTCACTGTGCGAGCGGAGAGTCCGTGTGTGACATCCGGGCTGGAGTCTGCTCTAGTGGAGGGTGTGAGGCTGGGTGGAATGGGAGCAACTGTCAGACAGGTGATTCTTGTTACTCTATCACATCAAATTATGGTCATGGGAAAAAGCAGTGTCTTTTCTCTCATCTTAAATGTTTAACTTGTTTATTCGTTGTTTTTCTTCATAGTATGCTCACATGGAGAGTTTGGGCGGAACTGTACTGGCACCTGTCACTGTGTGAGCGGAGATTCCGTGTGTGACATCCGGACTGGAGTCTGTTCTAGTGGAGGATGTGAGGCCGGATGGAAGGGGGACAACTGTCAGACAGGTTATCGTTTTATTTTGTCACATTAATTTCTTGCAGTAAGTCCAAAAAGACAAGGCTTGAAATAAAACGTGTTCGAATCTTCAGATATTCACAAGGTTTAATAAACTGTGTTATTACTTTCTTTAAAGTTTGCTTACCCGGAGAGCTTGGGCCAAACTGTACCGGCACCTGTCACTGTGCGAGCGGAGATTCCGTGTGTGACATCCGGACTGGAGTCTGCTCTAGTGGAGGGTGCGAGGCCGGATGGAAGGGAAGCAACTGTCAGACAGGTGATTTAGGTTGATTTATATTTATCGTTTTGTATTCTGGCAAAGAGTAAAGAAAGAGGTGGAGTCAAACATTTCTTTAAGATTTGTCACATTGTTTTGTTGCAGCAAGTCAAGAAAGACAAATCTGAAGTTTAAACGTTTTCCAACAAACTGTTTACTGAAATTTGTTATCACTGTCTTCAAAGTTTGCTCACCTGGAGAGTTTGGGCCCAACTGTACCGGCACCTGTCACTGTGCGAGCGGAGATTCCGTGTGTGACATCCGGACTGGAGTCTGCTCTAGTGGAGGGTGCGAGGCTGGGTGGAAGGGGAGCAACTGTCAGACAGGTGGTTGATATTGTCTCTCTTTATTTTATTTAATGCATTACATTATAGGGTGGAGTTTAACCCTACCTAGATCGGGGGGGGGCTAAAAGTGCCCGCGGCAACTTTGATGTCACCTAGCGTCTGAACGGCTAGCCGTACAACAGCCAAACTTGGTGACTTTTCCTAGAATATTGTTGGCAACAATTCTCTATCATTCGAATAAGATAATAATTTTTTGTGTTGCCATGGCAACGGGTTTCTGACAGGCATTTTTTGCTAAATTTAGTACTTTTTGTTTCAACAATAAAATTTTATGGGTTTTATGTCAAGTTACTCATGGTTTCTAATATTAATAACATCCCATATAATTTTATGTAAATTTTATCATTAAATATGCATAATTTATGCTAATTTGATGACGTCATTGGCCAAAATCCAAGATGGCGGACCATGTCATCAGAACAGGTATATACAGGTTATTTTCATTAAAATGTCATCAATAATTCCATTTCTTTTTCCAAGAAAGGTTTAAATGAAGATCTTTAGTATGTTTACAATGTATTTTAGGCTTTATCATGAAAAAAAGACTATTTTGGAAAATTCAAGATTGATGATCCAAGATGGCGGATATCTTAAATATGCATGACGTCATTTTATGACGTCACCGGTGTTGCTATGGGCAACATAAGACTTAGTACACCATAATATTCTGTCATAAACACTTTTGGTACACTTATGTTGAATACCATTTAGTTTTCAGGGAAAAACCTATTTAGACGATTTTGGCCAATAAAATCACATTAATAACGTCATAATGACGTCTATATTACGTCATAACGACATAAGAATTGTAGATATGATTAATTTTCACTAGTACACCATTCTCTGAAAATTTGGTGGTCATACGACATACCGTTCGCGAGTTCTTAGGGGGGGGGGTCGAAAGAAGACCCCCCCCGGTCCCCCCCGACCCTCGTCCAAAAAACGAACCCGGTCCGTA